TTGATGTTGTGGTGTCGTCAAATTTGTAAGTGGATTGGAATTCGCTGACAGTTTTATAAAGTATAGTATGTTCAACTGACAAAACTCCCATCGAGAGCGTGTTCAAATGAAGATTGTTTGGCAAGCTCACTGAAACTGAACGATTCGAGATGATTATTTTGAAGTGGAAATACTTCAATCAGTTGTTGGATGTTAGTTAGTTTGACGCTGACAATTGTTCGATTGGGCGCGTCAAACTGATTTACTGATCTAAAGCGTAAAATATAACTTTGTACATTGAAATATTTATTTATTCAAGAGACTGTAGTAGTGAATGGTCAGTCAGTGTATTCTAGTGAATTGCATTAAAATAATGAAATGTCGACATTGAATGTAGTAGGAGTAGGTTTGTAGAAACGTACAAATGGGTAGAATCGTCCGTATATTTACCGATTTACCGATTACTGTATATTGATCGATGTATACGACAAAACAACTCCGCCTGCAGCTCTTCTAGAGTTACTACCAGTCCCAATCAGGGTAGAGGACGAGGGTTGAGCATGTGGTTAGCGATCCCATTCAGTAGAAATCTAACTCGCTAGACAAACGCTAACCAGAGAAATTAATTCAAAGCATTTAAACTCTGCCCTGGGAGTTAGAAGCTCCTCATTTATAAGAACTATGACGCCTCATAGTGAAAGCCGAGTTCTTTCGGAAGCCACGAGGCCGATGCCACTTCTATCAACCAGAACAACATTTTTTACAGGTACATGGAATGTCTGGACAAAGTGAGAGACTGGGAAGACCAGTCAAATAGTATCGGAAATGAGGAGATATAACTTGGCAGTACTGGGAATCAGCCAATATTATACAGTGTTATGCACCCACCAATGATAGCAACGACGACATTAAAGCTCAGTTCTATGAGAGGCTGCAATCAATCATAGAGAAGTGCTCAAGAAAGGACCTGACCATTCTGATGGGAGATCACTGGACGACATAGACTTGGAGAGATAACCGAAAATGGGGAAAGATTTGCAAATGTGTGTGCATTCAACAAATGGGTCATAGGCGGAACAATATTTCCACACAAACGTATACACAAAGCTACATGGATCTGACCGCACCACACCACAGAGAACCAGATAGATCATATTTGCATCAATAAAGAGTTCCGAAGGACAATGGAAGATGTGAGAATCAGGAGAGCTGGTGACATAGCTTCAGATCACCACACCACCTAGTTGTGGTCAATTTGAAACTGAAGCTAAAGAAGAACTGGACAAGTGGACAAACTGCACTACAAAAGTTCAATACACTCTTCCTTCGAGATACTCACAAACTCAATGAATTCAAGATAGCTCTCAACAATAGGTTCCAAGCCTTACAGGATCTACTAAAGGAAGAAGAAACTACTATGGAGGACAACTGGAAAGGTATCGTGGAAGCATTAACTTCAAAGTGTCAAGCGGTTCATAGCCTCAAGTAGCATCATCATACGGAATGGATCTCTATAGAAACACTGGACAGGATCAAAGAGGGAAAGAACAAGAAGACAACAATTAACAACAGCCGAACACGAGCAGAGAAAGTCCAAACACAAGCTGAATACATAGAAGCAAACAAGCAAGTGAAGAAGAGCATTGGAGTAGATAAGAAGAAATACGTGGAAGAACTAGCAACGACGGTGGAAAAAGCTGCTAGAGAAGGAAATATGAAACAGCTTTACGATACAACGAAGAAACTATCAGGGAAATACAGTTAACCAGAGAGACCGGTCAAAAACAAAGAAGGCCTGGATGGCCTGGAAAGAAGGACACCTCGTCAAGATTCCAAAGAAAGGAGATCTGAGCGAATGTGTAAACTACAGAGGCATTACACCGCAGTGAGTATCAGTGAAAGACTTTAACAGAGTGTTGCTGAACCGGATGAAAGACGCAGTAGACGCCAAACTTCGAGATCAACAAGCTGGATTCCATAGCGATCGGTCGTGCACAGACCAAATTGCGACACAACGGATCATCGTCGAACAATCAGTTGAGTGGAACTCGTCACTGTACATCAACTTCATTGATTATGGAAAGGCATTTTACTAATCATTAGATTGAATTGATCATATTTGCAATTGACATGTGTTCTGTTAGGTTCATCGTATTCTGTTCATTCGAGTAGTTTGACTAGCGTTTTGTATATTACTCTACACTACTACTTATCAGTATTGAGTAGTCTGTTTGGTTACCCATAACTTTGTTGTATGCAGACATACTGATATCTGAATTTTTATAGAATATTCTCAACCACATCCATCCACTGAACACATCCATTTGATTCATTCATTTATAATGAGTATTCAACCAGCTCATCACAGTTGATCCAAGTAATCATTATTAGTAGTTAGAGAAGAAGGAGATTAAGCTAGCAGAACACACATAGCATGTAAACCAATATGTATTATTGAAGTGGATAATACACGAATTAGTCATTGAACGGGCAGAGAGAATACCTGTTGTTCTATTGGCTTTACACAAAACAAAGTCAATCGAAGAATCAGTTTGTGAATTCATCGTGCACTGCAATCACATGAACAATTCATTCAGTGAATTATTCATCATCCGATAGTCAGTAATGTCAACTGTCGATTCCATAAAATCATGGTGTACATATATGATTGATGATTGAAGATAATTATCATCATACCAGTTCATTGACGTCCTAATAAGAATAGCCCATGATATTGTTCTGTGTTGTACTTATAAGTAGTGATTGAGGCAACTGTGAAAGTGTACACTTGCATTCATTGATGAGAATGTGGAAATCAGGCAATGATGAACACGAGAAAGTAACGAGAACGGTGAAGGAATCTAATCTCGTATTGTAAAGTGAATGCGAGACCATGTTGTTGATTGAATTTCACAGGTTGTTATTGTAAATGAACTGTGAGTGAATAACAAACAAACAAGCTCTGAATTATAGTTTGAATAGAATAAGATGATGATGATGATGGGAATAAAATGCCCTATTTACTACAATAACAATAAACATGTTTATATAAGGGAAGGATGTGGGAACCACAATATGACGAAAGCAGATGTCGAATGTGCAATTTAGTTTTATGGGAAGAAGAAGTTCATGTTTGTGTGAAGGCGTTCACCAAACAACAACAACAACAAATACAGCAATAATAATAATCAAAGGTTAGCTAGAGTACATATTCCATTACATGAATGGATGCAGTTGTTTACTTACATAATGATGATGATCAAAATAACCATTGTAGGCAAAAGTCAAGGTAGTGGTAGAGATGAGAAAGTCTCTCGTTTGTAAACGGACTTTTAATTTCATCGCATGTTTGTTTAAAATGTTCTGTTGTGTAAAGCAGCTTCAAACGATCGACTGTTGTCAAATGTGAATAGATTCTGAGTGAGAGAAACAGTGAAATGTGGTTGTGAGTTAGCTGTGTTGCACAAGTTAGTAAAGTGTTTGAAGTTAAACATTCTAACTGATCTCGTTTCACACTTGTGGAAAGAATTCGAGACGAGTTATCGTTTGTTTGCTGAAAGTCAACCATATCTCCAGCCAAAACATCTTTCATCATAGTAAGATTGTGCGACAATCGTTGCTTCATTCAGAGTCTGTTGCATCGTATGATAGGTGGAAAGTCAACACAAGAAAAAATACAGTTGTTCTGTTCCAACATTGAATATCACCCTGAACAATGCGGTAGAAAATGTAGTTGGACACAGTTAACCGACCACACATATTTCATTTATTCCGTTTTTTGTCTATCATGATGAAACTATAACCACGAATGACAGATTGGAGATTGTAACGTTTCTGCAAATCATCAGTAAACTGATTCGAAATCGATGTGTGCATTCTACATTGAAAAATGTTGATGCTGGCATAGGAATATTTCCGTTGGTAAATTGTCACAGGCTCTATGACTTGACAGTCAACCCTATTTAGGACTTATAATCTAGGTCTGTATATGTTCGTAGTATCATACATATATCAGATGAAACTACACTCCCTTCGTAATAAAGGTCATAAACATCGTAAGCCAGTCTACTGAGTCACGATTACTGCTGTGATTTCATTGATGTAGTCAATTTGAAGGTGGAACACTATTTGATGTCACTAGGAATCGATAGGAGATTGTCATGGTCGGTTTATTGAGAAACGATTGGTGACGGAATATGTAATAAACATTTTGAAAGGAGGTCGGCTGATTCACACACACTCCCATGTCTTATATTCACTGTCTCTAATCTACACGTGAAATTTTCGCTTCATTTATACAACATCAGAGAACTGATTAATTTGTTTGGAAACTTATCAAGCACAGTAGTACTGTATTAAACCAACGCATTCTGTTGAGAAAATCACATGCTCCACTGTTGAAATTCAAAGTGAAAAGAAACAGTTAAGGCAGTTGATTAATTCTCATGGATAACTCATTCTATTTAAGTAATGTTGCCACCGTTTCTGTGAGATTAGACCAGACCTACAGTGATGAGTTCATTAGATGATAAACACAATGATCTCGGTTGAAAAGAATCACATGATCAATATTGAATTGTTATTGGTTGTGATGTAGGAAGCAGTTATGGTCACTGCATTGAGATATTCGAGAAGAACATAAGTAAGTCGGTTTAAGGCAATAATGTTTAACGAGAGTGCAACACTAAATCACGCACAAACATCAGTTATGAGCAAATCAATATGGAATCGTAAGTACACTTAATTAACGAAATAAATCACACAGTATCCTCAATTGTTTTAACATCAACATAGAATTGACGAAAACATGGGCATGTAAACTCGACGAAAATCACTGTGCAAGCCATAATGACTATTCATAATGAAATAAATGACCAATACAGTTTGCATTCATCCAACTGGTCAGAAATTATTCATTTGAAATGAGCAACCACCCAATTGGTCAATTTGTGCATATGGGAAATTCCACCAATCAATTGATTCATCTCCACTATATAAACAGCAGCAGCAGCCGAACAGCAGCAGTAGTAGTAGTTGTTGTTATTGTCGAACAATACACCATTTCTTATACATTTCAAGTTACATCAAATGATTCAATATTCATTCTTGATCACTGTATACATTTCAATTCATCTTTCATATTGTTTGCACACACAAACAAATGTGACAAATCATTCGACATTGTTATCCTCATGTGAGCACTGCCCGAAATGTAATACAAATATGCATTGCAACTATTCACAATGGATAGTCAAATTGGGACTGCCAGAGCAGATTTTCTCACAAAACTACTGGTTGAAGATAGTCCGAACGAAATCAGACTGCCTTACTGAATGCCGATCACACCCTCAATGTAATCTATACACATATGAAATTGTAAGTTTACCATAAATTTTCACTAAATATGTAATTGTCTAACTGATATATCACTGTATACATACTTCCAGTTGAATTGATGATCACCGATTCATCTCAGCATCAACATATTCTGATATCTTAACAAAGATATTATTTCAATGGTTAAGATCATGAGTCAGTTGAAGCTAGACCACCATGGAAAGCCTTGAAGCACTGGACGTCCGTTTCGTCCTATTGCGGGACTCCTCAGCAGTGCGCATCCACGACCTCGCGCTCTGCGAGTCTCGAACTCAGGACCTCCGGGTTCGCGCCCGAGCACTCAACCACTAGACCACTGAGCCGTCGTCCAACGGTGTTAATGTCTAACTTCAACTAATCCACGAGGTCGTGGATGCGCACTGCTGAGGTGTCCCGCAATAGGACGAAACGGCCGTCCAGTGCTTCCAGGCTTTCCATGGTGGTCTAGCTTCAACTGACTCATGATCTTAACCATTGAAATTACTACAATCTCCACAAAAACCCATCTGATATTAAAAAATATTAATGTTATTCTTAGTTGTAGAGAATAAGAAACGTCTGCAATTTTCGACTGTACGAAGTGTTTCAATGAAATGTCAAGTGTCCAATTGAAACTATTATTATTATCATCAGCATTATTATTATTTTTAGATGGAATGCCACATCCATCAACCATTTGATGTATGAATTGCAGATATTCGTTACATTTCAAACTTCTCCTTATTTACAGATCAAACCGAAATGGTGCAATCTGTATTCTGAACTGATTGAAAACGCTACGATAAAGATCATCAATTCAACTGACCATATGACTGGAGGAAGAGTGTGTTGTTGTAAGTTGAAATCATGTTTATCATGGTCATATTATTAATAATAATAATCATAATGAGAAATGTTTCGAATATCCAGTGTGATTAGGGTCAGTGTAACATGGTTTATATGATTGAGGGTAGTTTAGTTGTATTTTATTTCGGTGAACTGAAATGACACATATCATTTGAGAATATGTAGTTGGCATAAAGAAAGAAGCAAGTGTTTCCATGCAAAGTTGATCGTTAGATCTTAGCTAATTGTTACTGATTAATGCATTGTATGTCCATTGTCCATAGAAATGTCAGTGAGTCAGCAGTCAGTCAGCCAGCAGTCAATCAATCAGTAAGCAACGGTTGACAGACGTTACAGAAAAGTGTTAAGTGAAGTTGAACAGTGAAATACGTTTTATCACAGTGTGTGTATTTGAAGTTCCAGTCAACATTCTCGGAACTTCAGTTATTCTAATTAGCTTTAACTTACAAAAGCCTGATAACATCACCAACCAGAATGTTGCAACTTCTCTCTTCGAGGCATCTCCTTGCACTAATATGTTTGCAAAGTTGCTTCACATATCTGATGTTCCTCCAATCACTTAACTGTAGATGATTACGCATGAATAAATAAGAATGTTTGTGGTAAGTGAACGGACACGTTTACACTGTGAACTACGAACAATTCATGGTAATCGCAATCACTCATCATAATGAAAGTTCTTATTAAGTAAACTGTTTGCTGAATATCTATCTGTTGAATGTTAGATATCAGTGAATATTTCATTACAGTTTTATATTTGCCTAATTGGTTAGCTCTAATGTAAGCCAATCATCTATGTACATCGGTAACTCTTTCAAACCATTTTCCCTTTTACGCTCTTCCTCTCTCTCTTCGTCTTATTCTTCTTCTTCTTCTTCTTCGTCTTCTTCTTATTCTTATTCTTACATCATTAAACCATTGTACATTGAATGTTATTTGTAAATGTTTGTGTTCATACGTCTACTGACTATTGTATTGTAATGAATTGTACTGTATTGTTATGCAATGTACTGTGCTGTACTTCACCATGTCAGACATTCTGTAACTAAATGTAAATAAACTATTCATTTGTTGTTTACCATGTGTTGTTCTTTGAAATTAATCAGTGAATAGACGAAAAGACAATCGTATGAATAGTAGTAATTGATTAGATGATGATGATTGGGTTGTGTTTTCTTTCACGGATAACATTGATACATGTGTGAATAATGTGAAGAGAAACTGACGAAATAGTAGTTGACTATGGCACGAGTAGGTTGACCGATGCGATTCTCTTAGTAAATGACACCAGTTGACTGATTTGTTGAAACGGAACATTCAAACTACCGAACTTACTAGAACATGTTAGGAAACCGATCATCATCATCGGAATTATTCCGTTCACTTGTTATAAGGGAATTAATACATTAATTTCATTAACTAACATATGAAGCAGTAAACAGTTTGAATCTCGTGTTTATCAGTTCATCGAAGTTCGAATAAGAAGATTATTTACTTCGTGTTAGGTCTATTGAAGCGTCCATGTCAGCCAATCGAGATACGCGCAAAACTGAATTTCACATAACAACCAATTGTCTAGAATAACCGTCCTATATTGAATAATAAACGAAAATTACTTACAAACCTCAACTTGTGAGGTGTCTGTAGCGTTTAACGCGTCCTTTTGTATGAAACAAAAAGAGGCTTCCTGCAACAGTAACACAAAGAAGAATTACAACATAAGATAGAGCAAAAGACAGCTGGTAGTTGTGTCTGAACTTGGTAACAGTTTATCAACATGCAAAACCCGAACCAAGAGCAACACAATGTGGAAACTGTTGCGTTCAAACAATGCACAAAACTGTGGACAACTGCTACAGTGATTGAGGTAAAGTAATTACAATGATAAATAAAACACACCTTATAATTATAAGTAAACATTTCAGAATGTTACACGACTACTTGTGTTACAACATGGGTGCGAAAATTGCTGGCAATACAACGATTTACTGAATGTAAATAAGTAGCATAAAATGATACGCAAAAGAGTGGAGGAGAAGCGAGTAAGAACTATGTGAAACAAGCTTAATACCGACCACCAATGACAGCATGTCCTTCCCTACTATCACTGATTAAATATTTAGCGTGAAGACATTCACAGATGACAATGGTACAATTCGCTCTATCCAAAGTCACTCAGGAAAGTCTTTCTACACCATAATGCTCAATCGTCTGCTCGTTCGAATAAGCAAATTCTACGTGTCTCTAGTGATTATACATTTCGATGTTCTGATCTTCGCTTGTCCGACGAGACCATCTTCTTCTGGTTTAACACTTACCACTAGACCTTTAAGCCAGATATGTCGCACATAAGTATCTCCAATGATCGAGACCAGATCGCCAGCTTGCGAATCTCGCCTTACTTGTGTCCACTTTGTTCACGTCTGCAACACTGATAAATATTTCTTTATCCAACTTAACACTTCGTGGTGAAATTTGCTCCAAATAGACTCATTTACAAATGTCAATCAAGGATGTGTTGTGCTGATGAGCGATGTAAACTACATCTGCTCAACAGTAGGTTACGATTTCTAGTTAGCACACTGAGAATTGAAACGCGCACAACAATACATGAACTATAGACTTATTAAACAAAAGTCGCAAAGATTTATACTACAGATCAAGCACAACTGTACAGTGTACAGTACAGTGTACATTCAGTACGCCTATTTCAATAAATACCATGCAATGATGATGAGCAGATCATTGTCAAAATCATATGGAAACTAGACTGAACACATTGATGATGAATTGATGAAGTTTGCGAAGTCGATATCACTGTCCACATATTTTGCAAAGAGAGAGATGGATGAAGGAAAGTCGGAAAGAAGTGTGTTTGCTCTGAAATCAATAATAGTAGAGATGAAGATGGGATGGGGAATCTCTGTAAATGAATCAACACTTCACAATGATATTCCGATCGATGCAGATTGTGGTCTAATTTCAAATATATGTAATCACTGATTACAAGTTGTTCAGTGTTAGCTTACTGTTTACATATTGGGACTGATCAAATTCATCACAATTGTTTGTAGCATATCATCATTGATGTGAAAGGAAGGATAGGATTGAATGATCGATTTGCACATTTGGTGGATGATCGCTGAAGTCTATTCCAGTCGATCGATCATTCTTACTATGTCGAGAAACGGTTAAGCGCAACGGTTCCATGATGTTCATCGTTTCAATTTCAGGTATCTCAAGTCTACTACATAATTGACATTGCTGATTTGTGCCACGTGTCCACACACAACTGTTGTCCATATCTCAGTCACTTTCATGTTATTCATACACAATTCATAAACGATTGTGACTGCAATCATCATTCGAAGAGTATGAAATGCAAACTATGTGAGTGAATCTGAATTGAAGTAACCACTGGAATTATCATTTCTAATCACTGATTAGACTACTCATCACAAATAACATGAAATGAACACCGATATCAGTAGATTGAATACTAAATAACAAACACATTATATTTGACATAGTGAATATCAATTATGCATTACATATGCGTCTGTCAACTTTCATGACAACTATTTCAGTAGTGTTATAATAGAATATACGAATCACTGGGGTACCGTACTGTGTGCATTGATGTTGTGGTGTCGTCAAATTTGTAAGTGGATTGGAATTCGCTGACAGTTTTATAAAGTATAGTATGTTCAACTGACAAAACTCCCATCGAGAGCGTGTTCAAATGAAGATTGTTTGGCAAGCTCACTGAAACTGAACGATTCGAGATGATTATTTTGAAGTGGAAATACTTCAATCAGTTGTTGGATGTTAGTTAGTTTGACGCTGACAATTGTTCGATTGGCCGCGTCAAACTGATTTACTGATCTAAAGCGTAAAATATAACTTTGTACATTGAAATATTTATTTATTCAAGAGACTGTAGTAGTGAATGGTCAGTCAGTGTATTCTAGTGAATTGCATTAAAATAATGAAATGTCGACATTGAATGTAGTAGGAGTAGGTTTGTAGAAACGTACAAATGGGTAGAATCGTCCGTATATTCACCGATTTACCGATTACTGTATATTGATCGATGTATACGAAACAAAGAACTCCGCACAGACAGATCTACCTCCCTTAGATGTCAATCCACCACGTCGGAACAAATCAGAATGGCCATCAGACAAGTCAAGAGCGGGAAAGCAGCACGACACGACAATATACCAGCTGAAGCACTGAAGTCAGACATCGGAGTTACTACGAACGTGCTTCACCTTCTACTCAAAAAGATTTGGGAGGAGGAACAAGTGATGATGGACTTGAAAGAAGGACACTTCATCAAGATTCCAAAGAAAGGAGATCTGAGCGAATGTGTAAACTACAGAGGCATTACACCGCAGTGAGTATCAGTGAAAGACTTTAACAGAGTGTTTGCTGAACCGGATGAAAGACGCAGTAGACGCCAAACTTCGAGATCAACAAGCTGGATTCCGTAGCGATCGTCGTGCACAGACCAAATTGAGACACTACGGATCATCGTCGAACAATCAGTTGAGTGGAACTCGTCACTGTACATCAACTTCATTGATTATGAAAAGGCATTTGACAGTGTAGACAGAAGAACGTTATGGAAACTTCATCGACACTATGTAGTTCCTGAGGAGATTGTCAGCATTATACGGAACTGATACGACGGGCTACAATGCAAGATCGTACATTCAGGACAGCTGACAGAGGCATTCCAAGTAAAGACTTGAGTCAGACAAAGCTGTCTACTCTCTGCCTTCCTCTTTCTTCTGTTGGTCGACTGGATTATGCAGACCTGAACATCTGAGCGAAAACACGGCATACAGTGGACAGCTCAGAACCAATTAGACGATTTGGACTTCGCAGATGAACTAGCCCTCCTATCGCATGCACACGAACGACAGCAGATAATGACAGCCAGTTTGGCAGCAGTCTTTGCATCAGAAGGCCTCAGCATACACAAGAGGAAAACCAAGGTCCTCAAATACAACACGGAGAACAGCAATACAATCACTGTTGATGGCGAAACTCTGGAACATGTAGAATCCTTCACATACCTGGGAAGCATGGTCGATGAACTAGGAGGTTCAGATGCAGACGTAAAGGCGAGAATTGGCAAAGCAAGGGCCGCATTCCTTCAATTGGAGAACATATGGAACTCAGAACAACTGTCTGTCAACCAATATCAAAGTCTGAATCTTCAATATCAACGTCATGGCAGTTCTACTGTACTGAGCTGAAACTTGAAGAACTACAAAAACCACCATCAACAACGTACAAGTATTTATAAATAGCTGTCTACGCAAGATACTCAACATTCATTGGTCGGAGACCATCAGCAACAGCCTTCTGTGGGAGAGAACAAACCAGCTTCCAGCTGAAGAGGAAATTAGGAAAAGACCATGGAAATGGATATGACATACATTAGGCAAATGGTCGAACTGGATCACGAGGCAAGTCCTAACTTGGAATCCTGAAGGGAAGCGGAAAAGAGGAAGGCCGAAGAACACGTTATGTCGGGAAATAGAAGCAGTGTGGAAGCTGGGTATTTGGCTCATTCACTTGTTTAGTGTAAAGCACCTACAGATAGAGAGATTGATGTATATTTGAAGCAGTGGAACAGAGTGGAATGTGCTATATTTATCAACGAAAATACATGTGCCTTCATGTATCCACTCATTGATTCCTCCTGTTAATGATGCAGATTTACAAAACTACTACTTTCATCCGAGACATTAGTGATATGCCATTTCAACTGTCGTTTACACGTTTAGAACATACAGAATCAAACACCAAACAATCTATTATGGAGAACGAATTCCATGCTTCTCAGAAGTGCAAAGATATAGAACATTGCGGCTTGATATCTATCATTAGTAAAAGTAAACCATATTTCATGCAATTGGTTCCCTTTATGAATTTAAATAAAGCAAGAACAAATATTGATGCAGAATAGTATGAATTCATATTATTTCGAGGTTTCTCGTCAGCTGCTTACAAACCAAAATTGTGATAGAATTTTTACATTGAGATATAGTGAAAACAATTGAC